TCCCTCCCTTTTTTGCGGAGAACTGCGCCTGCACAGCCCTCACTTACTTCTTCCATGTGTACACTGAGCAGTGGATTGATTTCTTGCTGTCATTATAAAAAAAATGTTTGGAAACTGCTGCTAGCTGAGAAATGTTCAAATACTATTAGAAACAGCCAGAAAACGATCCCTGGCCATGCCTGGCTCATTAGAGGAAGGTTCAAGCATTCTGACCTGGTCTGGATTGTGAAGAGGATTAGGAAGCAGAAGGACAAGGTGGAATCCTTGCTACTGGGTGCTCTGGCAAATGTCATGGCAAGACAAATCTATGAGTGACACCCTAGTGTGTCTGGGTGTCCGAGTTCTTCCTCCTCCACGAACACCCATAAGATTGGATTTGGACCACCCAAATGACTTCATTTAGCTCGATGACCCCGTTAAAGGTTCAGGCTCCATATAGTCACATTCAGAGATCCTGGAGCATAGCACTTCAACAAGTCAGCTGTAGAGACCCAGTGAGGCTCATACAACAGTGAGAATGAATCCATCCTCTTACCAGGAAGTGGCTTCTGGTCAACTTGCTGAGATGCACTGAGGACTGAGTTGAACAACTTCAGACAAATTACTTCACTTCCCTGAACCTCAGTTTGGATAGCTCGGGGTGCTTGTATAGGACCGTGGGGAGGGTTGAACCAGTTTAGACCCTAAACAACAAGACCCCTTGTTTAGCTGTGACTCATGTGCTGTAGAGCAACATACAACCTAACAGTGAGCTTTACAGCGTTCTCACTCTCTCTTTTGATCATGGCCTTTACAGTAAGTTGAGCAGGGATCATTCCACTCACAAGCATTAACACTGAGGCTCAGCAAGGTTAGGAGACTGTCAAGAACAAGCAGGGACCAGTGAGATGTCTTAGCGGGTAAAGGCACTTACTGCCATGCCTGGCAACTTGAGTTAGATCCCTGGAACATGGGGGCAGGAGAGAACCAACTTCTGAAAGCTGTCCTCTGACCTCCATATGCATGACGTGTCATGAACATGACTGTGCATGCATGTACATACACATCTTAATAAAAGAAATATTTCCAGGCATGGTGGCACATGTCTTTAATCCCAGGACTCTGGAGGCAGAGGCATGCAGATCTCTGTGAGATCAAGGCCAGTCTCATCTACATAGCAAGTTCCAGGCCAGCCAGCTGGGGCTACAGGGAGACCCTGTCTCAACAACAACAACAACAATAATAATGTAAAAATGTAAGGACTGCCTGGAGTGGTGGCTCAGTGTTAAGAGTACTTGCTGTTTTTCTGGAGGACTTGAGTTTGGTTCCAAGCATGTATGTCAAGCGGCTCACAACTGCCTGTAATTCCAGTTCCACAGGATCTGAAACCCTCTTTTGGTCTCTACAGGGACCCAAGGTGTACACTAAGAGGCACAGACACAAATAAAGATAAATCTTTTTTTTTTTTAAAGGTAGACTCCATAGGACATGGATGCATTGGCCTGGAAGACCCCAGTTTCTGGCTCAGGGCCTGTCAGCAGCAATGGCTGGTTTTTATTGTTTTATTGATCTGTTGTTTTGCTGTTTGTCAGTTGCATCGGTTTCCATTGCTTACAACTAAGGGTGTGATTGAACAAATACCCAGCACTTTGTAAGAAGCATTTTTTTATTTTTGAGACATGGTCTTATGTCAGCTGGGCTGACCACAGACTTGCTGTGTAGCTAAGGATGGCCTTAAACTTCTGATCCTCCTGCCTCCAGCTCCTGAGTGTTGGGATTATAAGTATGCACCACCACACCCAATCTTATGCAGTGCTTAGAACTGAACCCAGGGCTTTTGTGCGTACTGAGCAAGTATTCTACCAACTCCCAGTTGCAGGACTTGAACCTCCATATTTCTTGCCCCCACCTCCAGGTGATCGTGTGGGGAAACTACGGGCGGATGGAGCGGAAGCAGTTCATGGGTGTGGCCCGCGTGCTGCTGGAGGAGTTGGACTTGACCACCCTGGCTGTGGGCTGGTACAAGCTCTTCCCCACCTCCTCGATGGTGGACCCAGCCACAGGTCCCCTGCTCAGGCAGGCATCCCAGTTGTCTCTTGAGAGCACCGTGGGGCCCTGTGGAGAGCGATCTTAGTGCCGGGGAGGAGAGGGGCTCCCCGAGATGGCCTGGAGACCACCCAGCCCCGACCTGGGACCCCAAGCCCAGGGGTGCATTGAAGAGGAGGATGGGGTTTTCCCCCATGGTGGGGAAGCAGAATGGGGAGACCTGCCCCCCTTGGGCCCCTCCTCACCCCTTCTTCACCTCCTAACCCCTGAGACCTTTCCTCTCCCAATGGGTTGGCTGCACTTTTGACTTGGCTGGTCTTGACATGGTGGACGAGGCTGCGATTGGAGAAGGACTGAGGTGGCAGAGCAGACCACTCTCCTGCCCCAACACCGCCCTCCCTGCCCCCTTTGCCTCCTCGGAAGCTTGCTGCCTAGAGCCAAGTCCAGAACCCAGCCGGCCATCTCCATGGTGCCAATTACCAGCAAGTGTCTTTCCTGCGGCACCGGGTTCAGGCAGCTACTCCTGCCCCAGAACCGACGGGGCAGCTTTGCAAGGATCCGGAGCCAGCTCCTGGGGGCCTAGAGCTCCCCACTTGAAGGGGAGCTCGGGTCTCCCTCTGCCTGCCCGTGGAAGGAGCTTTGCCGAAGCCTGTCCGAGTCCATCTGTCCATCCCCTCCTGCCTGCCCCTCTGCTGGTAGCTCTAGAAGTTGGGGGCCAGCAGGAAAAGTAGGAGGTGCCTGAGGCCTGGCACAGATCCCCAGAGGGCTCTGCTCCATGGAATTGCAACAAGCTGGTCTGGAACTCTTGGTGGACTGGAAAGGACATTGCCATCTGTCATGTGCAAGACTGTGGGGACCTTGAGTTTCCAGAACTCCATGGCCAGAAGCAACTTTGGCATGTGGGGGATCCTGGAAGGGGAGTGTTGAGAAAAGCTGGGATTGGGTCTGGTGGTGCCAAGGGAAGGGTTTCCCAAACAGGAGACCCCTCCTTGTTGGTTGAGATCTAAGGTCATCTTATCCCTCTGCCTCCGGGCTAGGGTCTTGGGGAGGCATTAGAGCCCCCCACTATTTTAGTATTTTTAAATAAACCATCCTGTACTAAGGGCAGAACCCACTGCCAGGGCCTCATCACCTTGGCTCAAGAAGAGATGTGTGTGGGAGGGGAGGAGTACAGAGCTGTGTCTGGAAGAATCCAAGGCTCTGGTGAGGCCTGGGTAGCTGCCTTCCTGCGGCCCTCTCTGGGGCCTGCAGGAGCCCTTTTGCATGCGAGGGAGGACACAGGCTGGCCCCTCTATAGAAGCACATTTCTACCAGCTCTCCTGGGAGGCACCCAGCAGCCTGCCATTCCTCTTCACTTAGTCCCTGCTGTGTAGGGTGTAGTCCAGGTTAGCTGGGTACGTAGTGTTCATGCCCTGAGGCCTGCTCTTAGCTCAGATGTAGTCTTTTCCGAGTCCTAGGCTGGTAGTAGAGAGGAGACCGCAGTACATTCCAGGAGGTTACAGTCTCTCTTCTCTGACTGGGCTGGATGGGCTGCCTGGCTCGCCAGAGGCTAGCCCTCCCCTGCCCTGCCTCCTTCCTTCCTTCTTCCCCGTAGGGTTGTAACCCTAGCTGCCCATTCATTATACTAGTGTTCTAATGTACTGTCTTCGGCACTGATTTTCCTTATGAGGCACTCCTGAGGATTCTAAGCCTTGTGGAGGGACTTGGTCTTACTAGAGGGTGCCGTTTTTCCACTGAGGATGCCAGGGCTCTGTTGGGTCCCACCCTTTTCCTGGTTCCACCAGGGTTCCACTTGGAAATTCTCCCCACACCCAACCTGCCAAGCCCTGAGTGACCTTTACATTTCTGGTCGAGTTCTGTCACCTCCACCTGGAGCTGCTGACGCTGTACAGGTTAGGGGCTATACATGGTCCCTCTTAGCCAGTTTGTCTTTAGAGTGTCTCGAGACTGTGGAGGGGCAGAACCCAAGGGCAGGGGAGCAGGGCTCAGGATGGGCTCCCATCTGAGGCCCACAGTCAGCGCCCTGACTCCATTTTTAACCAGTGTGATTTCTGCTCTTGGTTTACTACTCACCGTTTGGAATATTTTGAGTCAGGAGAGTGCCTTCTCTCTCCAGCTGTCACTACTGTGGTTGTTCAGGGTGGGGCAAAGCCTGGCTGTCACAGCCAGATGAGAGGGCTCAGCCAGAGGGGGTTGGGGGAGGGAGGAGAACAGGTGAACCAACTCCAAAGCAATAACAACACCCTCGTGGTCAGCCAGGCCCCCTCAGTGGTTTTTCTGGTTTATTCTGTGGGATCTCACCTCCTGGAGGGGTGGTGTGGGGGCTGGAGCCCCATTTCTTTGTATCATTGTGAGCAAGTACCCTTCTTCCAAGGGAGCTGTGATCATCGTGTGTGGGAACTATGTCTGTTCTCACCTAGGGACTAGACAGGGGCTTGGGGAGGGAGAGTGACTTTTCATCATGAGCTTTGGGGACTGCCAAATCCAGCCTGTACCCCACTGCTGTCTGACCCTTTGCCAACTCAGACTCCACCACCTGGAGAGGAGCAGAGAGGGTGGAGTTGGGGGTGTTTCTGGGGCTAGGTCTCTAGGGCTGGTTCTTACTTTGTCTCTGGACAGAGGTCATGTACAGGGCTGCCTTGGAAGGGGCCTTCTCAGAACACTTTCCTTACCCAGAATGCCTCTTCACTCTGAGGGGAAGGGCCTGTGGACCTTTTGTCCATTTGCATTTTGCAAAGAGGAGACCCAGCTCTGCCTAGGGAGAGCCATCCTTGGGTCACTGGTGTGCCCTATGGCACCTCCACCTGGGTGTCCCCACATCCCACTGAGCTGGAGCCAGGGTGGGATGAAGAGGAGCTACCACTTCCATCTTTTCTACTCCCTCTCTGGAGCCTCCTAGTCACCCCAAAACATGGGAGGACAAGTTGTAGCCCATCTGAGAGGTCAGAAAACTGAGACCCAGAGCAGGAAATGATTTGTCCAAAGTCTCTCAGCAAGTATACTTTGGGAGTCAGAGCTAGGAGCTTCATTGTGTTTCCTTCCTGCAGCAGGAGAGACCACTGCTCAGGGGCAGGCCCCCACTATCAACACTTCTGGCCTTTCAGTGGCACAGCCTGCTTGGCTCTGTCTACTGGACCAGTGTCTTTTTCTGTACTGGAATTAGGAGACTAGGAGTACCAGGTAGACTGGCATCTCCTGGGAGTCTCTCCAGGTGATCATGGCTGTAAGAGTTGATCTAGGTCATCACCTCTCCAGGTCGAGCTGGAGGAGGGTGAGAAACAAGCTCCAGTCTGAATTTGCAGAGCGGGGGTTCAGGGAAGTCTCCTGTATGCCTTTAGAAGTAACAGCACCGCTTTCCTATAGCACTTCCCACACTTTCACAGTGCTTTTACCCAGACTACACCCTCTGACCTTTACAAGTCACTCAAGTCTGAGTACTGTGTGGAAGGAAGCTTGTGTCTTCAGTCCGTTTTTAAGAGGGAGAGGTGGATGTCCTGAGAAAGGAAGGTGCTTGCTGAAGTACTGGCTGTGACAGTGGCGGAGCTAGGACCAGCTCATTCTTGAACAGTCCACAGCCCATTGGCTCTTTAGCCCAGGAGCTCAGACAGTTGAGGAAATAGGTTGTTTACAAGTGATTCACCATTGGTTTCCTTAAGCCAGGAGCTTCTGGGTGCTTTGGGGTTCAGAACTAGCATGGCACCACACTTTCTCCCAAGGCAGAGCTGTTGCATCAGGCAAGGTCACCTGCATTTATTTATTGAGCAACAGTGCTATGTCAGGCCCAGGGACTTGGACTCCTTTCCTGTCCCCTGTAACAGCTCCCTCTGCCCTCCAGGAGGGCCTGTGTCTGCAGAACAAGAGCTCGGAAGATACAGAGTGTGTCTATAAGCTTATATGGAGAGTCCTGAGTGTGGGGCTCCTGCTGCCCATTTCAACCAGAGAAACTGTGAAGGACTGAGTAGTGGCTGGAAGCAGACATAGGCGTTACCTCTAAGCTCCTTATGCCCTCCTACAGGGCAGTGCGAAAGTGGGACCCCCAGGGTCTCCAGGCTGGGGGCCTCTTTCCATCCACCCACCTTTCCCTGTGCCCTCTTGGGGAGCAGGAACAGCCTGGGCCTTTGGGGAGGGAGGGTTTTGGGGCCAATAGGTTGGAGCGGGTCACATTGCATTGTGTTCATGACCACGTAGCTCATGTTGGAAATTAAAGTTTTTGGCTTTTCTATTCCCCCTGGTTTTGCTCTTGCTTTGTGTTCATTTTTGTCTGGCAAGATAAGAGATGCTGGTGTTTTAAGGGGTGAGATACTATAGGATGTCAGGATGCCCCACCATGGGCTTTGTTAACACCCCTTTATAGGGCAGGGGCCTGTCTCAGAAAGCTGTGCCACAGGTGCTCACAAGGAAGCAGGATCTGGAATGAACCCTGTTTTGCTGGAGAAGTGGAGACCTAGAGAGGTAATAAGAACCCCAAAGTCACGTTGCTGGTGATTAGTGGGACCCAGAATGAATTATCCCACAGCACTGAGCTAGCTGCCTCTGGGTAGTCCTGGTGATATGGAGGCTGTGGAGAAGGTCCCCTTCATTCAGAAGAGGGGCTGGCCTGGGACAAGACTCGTGCTTTCCAGGGGGGCAAACATCCACACATGGGCGAATTCCACTCTTCATGTGTGACAAAGAGGATGCAAAGGCATTTACATGGGGCAGGGATTATCCACTATATAGATGGTTGTGCTCCGTCCATCTTTGTCTCCACACTTTTAGTGTAAGCACCCAGCCTCGGTACTAGAATTCTAGTGTTGAAAGTTGTAGGTTTCCCCTGCAAGGCACTTTGAATCCTCTTTACAACAGAAATGTAGGCATTTGCCCTCCTTTGAAGGGTCAGTTAGGACATGGCCACATGTTCCTACACATTTGGACTAAAGAGTTTCCACCTCCAGGCTGAATGTAGAATGACTTCTTCATTTGATGCAGCATTCCATATACTTCTAGAGGGGATTGGAACGATCCACAAAAGATACTGAGACGCTTCGAAGCCTCTCTTCCTCTCCAAGTCCAGGGACACATTTGTTGATAGACATGTGACCTGGGGTGGAAGAGGGCTGTCAGATGGACTTCCTCCGAGCCCGGGGTCTGTCCGGGCTGCTGCGATAGGGGCGCACCACTGCCGGGCTCAAGGGAGGCGAGAAGCCTGGGTTGTCATGGGCCCAGGTCTCCAGCTGATGGACGCGGTGGGAGACACAGGGGGAGCTCCGGGGAGCTGCAGGGCTGCAATGGTCCAACGGGAAGCGGCAGAGGAGGGGGCTGGCACGGCGGGCATTGCGCTCCGGGGCCTCGGCTCTGGTGGCGAGGAAGCGCAGGACCACGAGGTTGAGGAAGGCGCCGATGACCGTGAGCCCCACCAGGATGTAGAGGAAGCTGAAAGCCACGTAGGGCGGCTTCCTCTGCAGCGCCTCGTCGCTCTGCAGCGCCACGAAGTCGCCGAAGCCGATGGTGGTGAGGGTGATGAAGCAATAGTAATAGGCGTGGAAGAAGGTCCAGCCCTCGAAGTGCGCGAAGGCCACGGCCCCGAGGGCCAGGGTGGCGGCGCACACCAGCAGCCCGGCCACCACCAGGTTCTCGGTGGACACGCGCGGCCGCCTCAAGCCCAGGCAGCGCTGCGCCGCCAGCAGGAGGCTCCGCACCAGCGCGTTCAGACGCTCGCCCAGGCTTTGGAAGGTGACCAGCGTCAGGGGGATGCCCAGGAGCGCGTAGAACATGCAGAAGACCTTGCCTGAGTCCGTGCCCGGTGCGGCGTGGCCGTACCCTGTGCGGGGAGAGAGAGAGAGAGAAGATGCTGGAAGCCCAGCTCCGCCTAATAGGCTCCCGCCCCAGTCCGGCCTGTCTGGGTCTTTCGTCGGCTTTGAACCCTGCGTAGTTTATTCACAGTCGCCCTGATTGCAAACATTCCTCCACCCTGGAACGAATAAAGGACCCGTGATACTTCTGAATGACAGAATTCTGTTCGGCAATGCAAGGACCGATCTTCTGTTTCCTGAAATAGCTAAGGATGGTTGGTGCAAGCCCCACCCCAAGCGCAGGCTGCATAGTCCGATGGCTACAGGGCATTCTGGAAACCTCAGTTGGGTGGCAGAAGAGCTTTGAGGTCGCCTGTCCTTGGGGTTAGAGGACTACTTAAAAAGGGGCAGAAAAATTGGGGAGGTAAGGGAAAGGTTCTGTGACTTGATCTGCAGATAACTGAGAGGTTCTCTGTCAGAGCCTACAGTATACACCGAAAAAAAACGTTGAGTTTTAGTTAGTTATGCTTTGATGGGGGAGGGAAGGGAGACACAAATCTTCCCTGGCATCCTAGTACCAACACAGTTAAATCCCAGTTCTCACACACAGCCCAACTCCTTCTCTCCCCACTCCCCAGCCTCACTCCTTTTACATCCCCATGCTCTAGGTTCACCCCCTTCTTCTACCAGAAGATCACTCCTTTTGTGTTTTGCTCCTCCTTGGGACTGGCTTGTCTCCCCTCCCTAATCCCCTGCTCCCTTCAAAGCCCTCCTCACCTTCTGCCTTTTTGTAGACCCTCACTGAACTTCCCCCTGGATCTGGGTGTGCCTTTACTGGTTCCCTCAGCTGTTTTAGGGAGCTAGATATGAGTGGTCATCCTTGAACCCTAGGTCACCGTCAAATGGGTGGATGTGTCTTTTTCTGGAAAAAGTAACAATAGCTTTAATGAGCCCATAACAGGGGAGAAGCAAGGCAGATCTATCTCCCAAAGAGAATGTGCCTCCTCCCACAGGTTGATCCTGTCTGCCCAAAGATAAAACGTGATGCCCTTGACCTGTGCAGTTCCACACTGTCAGTCCTTCAGTATGCAAAGATGTGTAAAATGTTGTACACACATGGGCTGTCACCATGGTCACAGCAAAAGTTAGAAACAACCACATGCTGATCAATACAGTTCTGGTGAAATCCATCATGGCACCTCTGAGATCACAGAGGCTCTCAGACCACATGGTCTTATCACCACACAGACATCTGGCAGGACCTAGGGACACTTTTGGTTGTCTCAACTGGGGATTGGGAATGGGGTGGCTGTGTGCTCCTGGCACCAGAGGGTAGAGGCTGGGGATGCCATCACTATTTCACAGTGCACAGGACAGCCCCCACAACACAGAATTATCAGGCCAATATGTCAGCAGTTCCAAGTTAAGAAGGCCTGCTATATTGGAAGAAAGTGGCATGGATCTTCAGGATTTATATAAAAACACCATGAAGATATACTAAGTCAGGGGCTTGGGTGTAGCTCATTTGGTAGAGTCCTTGGCTAGCATCCCTGAAGTCCTGATTCCATTCCTAGCATCACATAAAAAATGAACATGGGGCTTAACTCCGAATGAGCTGGGCTCATTCACGTGGACTTGGCCAGAAAAAAAAATGAACATGGTCGCATACACCTGTAATTCCCCAGCACTTAGGAGGCTGAGGCAGGAGGATCCAAAGCTCTGTATCATCCTCAGCTACATAGTGAGCTCAACACAAGTCTGGGCTACTTGAGGCCCTGATTCTCTCTCTCTCTGTCTCTGTCTCTGTCTCTGTCTCTCTCTCTCTCCATATACATACATACATATATATATATATATATTACATGAAGCAAAAAACAGCCAGAATCATGAATATTATATAAAATGTGTATAGTGTTTAAAGGACATAGACAGAGACTCTCTCTGGAAGGGCAACCAAGAAACAGGTGAATCAGGGAGAGAGATTTGTGGGTAAGAGCAAGGCAGAGACTCTGAAACACAAAGATCACATGTTTCCTTTTGTATGTGGACTCTAGATTTTTTTTAAAGACTGGAAAAGTAGAAGGGGGATTATTTGGGAAGAGGAAGAGGGTATGGGGAAGGGAGGACTATGATGATGGTCCATGATCAGAGTACCTGACACATATATATGGCAATGTCACAGTGAAACCCTTTATTCTGTACAACTAATGTACACTAATAAAAAAAGATCTTCCAGAAAGAAAGGACAGGAGGGAGATTTCCTTTTCATTCTGTAGCCTTTTGAAGCTTGTGAAGTATGCACTGTGAGCATATGTAATATTCAAAAATATATCAACACAATGTATGCAATGTAAAGACCTATGGTTGGGCTGGAGAGATGGCTCAGCAGTTAAGAGCACTGGCTGCTCTTGCAAAGGACCTAGGTTTGATTCCCAGCACCCACAAGGTAGCTCACAACCATCCATAATTCCTGTTCCAGGGAATCTAACGCCCTCCTCTGACCTCCTCAGGCATTGCATGACTCAGGTGCACTTATACACATGCAGGCAATACACTCATACACATGAAATAAACATAATAAAATATTTTAAAGACCTATGGTTGCCCTTCCACATTGGCACTGCGTGGTCCTGAGGGTTTGTCTTTCTCTGTTACAGGAAGAGGGACTCTGCCTAACAGCAGACTTCGAGCTCCTTGAAGGCAGGTACCCTGGTGACCAACTCTAATATATCTGGAATCACCCAGAAAGATAATTGATTCAAACCAAATTGGGGAAGAAACTTGAGTAAGACGGGTTCTTTAGGAATAAGAAGCCAGGAAGTGTGGCTTTCCTTGGGCTATGCCAGACTTGGGCAGAGCATACTGAAAAGGAATAACTAAACATACTAAGTACTCTACAGTGATGCTCTCATTTAGCCTCTGGTGACTGTATGTGATGACACTGTTAACCCATTTTACAGATAAACCAGGCTTAGAGAGAGGAAGCTGTGCCAAGATCCCAGGGACTGAGCTATTAACCCCATGCTTCTCTGTGCCTTTGTTCTGCCCAAGCAGAGTTTGAGCTTCTAGACGCCTGGGGCCAGGCTTCCTTCAAGGCTTTTTAAAGCAGATAGTGTGGTGGCACCCCAAGTGGCCAGAAAAGTCAAAACAGCTCTAGTTTCTGCTGGCTTTGTTGTTGTTTCTTTCCCCAGCTTCATATGTGGGTCAGAGAGGTACAGGGAGGGAGGAGGCCAGACCTGGCTGGTAGACCTCCAGAGAACAGGAGACAGGGCAGAGGCTGTAGATAGGGTACCACCTCTGTAGACACAGGAAAAGAGAGGGTCTGGGGGCGCTGTCGATAGGAAAGGGCAAAAGTGTTGTACAGGAGCTGGGGTTATAGTTAGCAAATAACCAATTATTATCACTAACAAATGGTGCCTGCATAGCCTGATACCATGCCAAGCTTTTTACACACATGACCTCACTTTAAACCTGGCCATCACCCAGTAAGGTAGAGCAGTTGCCTTTTGCCTTGATAAAACCAGGTCTCAGAGGGGCACAGTCTCTTGCTTGAGAAGGCAGATGGCAGGAGGTACCCAGAACTCAGCCTTTGGGTGGCTGAACTCCACCCACTAAACCCACAGCTCCTATGCAGGAGCATCTTGCAGGAACTTTCTCCAAGGTATGGGCTTTTGGACTACTGATCTACAGCCACAGGACCCCTGGGCAGCCACAGCTGGAGCCTGCAGAGCCTGCTCCTCTCCTTTGTGGGCTCCCCAGACTTAGACTAGCAGGTATTGGCCAGATGTAGTCATGGCAACAGATGGGGTCCAGCTGTTACAGAGGAGCTCCTCAGATCCCTGAGGGTGAGGTGCAAAGGTTTGACAACCGGTCATTCCTTTATCAAGTTATTGAGCTCTTTTATGCCCTAGGCACCCACACAGCAGTGATAAGACAGATGAGGTCTCTGTTCTCAGAGTTAACAGAATAGTTATTATAATGCAGAAAGCCATCTTATTTTCATAGTGTTTTCTATGGGTCAGGCTCTGTGCTAAAACTATCTGCATGCATTATCTCCTTAATAACAATCTCCACCACAGACGACATCCTCCCCCCTTCCCCTCTGCAGGGTCTATTTGACTCCTAGTTTAGACTGTGGCTCAGAGAAGTTTAGCCATTTATCTGAAGTTACACAGCTGATGTGAGGGGACAAGGAAGCCCCTCTGGCCACTTAGTCTTCCAGACCCACTTCACCTGTCCCTGAGCCCCTGAGGCGCTCTCTAACCACCCGCGTGCCAGCCCCTTGGCAAACCCTTACTGACCCCTGCCGCCCTGCACGAGTGAACTGACTGTCCCCAAATGAGCCTCAGTGAGCTGAAATGACCCGTCCAAAGTCACTGGGCTGCGCCAGGGTGGAGATGGGACGGCACCCGGGCGCATCGGCACCGCGCGAGGCAGTGGGGAGGCTCCTGGAGGCTCACCGATGGTGGTGATGACGGTGATGGCGAAGTAGAAGGAGCCGGCGAACTCCCACTGGCGGCCGGAGCGGTGCGGTTCGGCCTGCAGCGCCAGGCGCTCCAGCTCCCTGTAGTCGTCGGCGGAGAAACCGTACTTCCTGCGGAACTCGCCGCGCTTCTGGGCCAGCAGCCGCTGGCGGCCCCGCTCCGCCTCCGACTCCAGGGCATCGAAGACCGCGGCGCCCACCAGCAGGTAGGACAGGATGCACAGGATGAGCGCGGCCGTGCGCGCGCTCTGCTTCCTCATCGCGCAGTCCTCCGGCTCCGTGCGCCCCGACGGCTGCGCCCCGCCGCTTCCCTGCAGCTCCCTTCCGCGCCCCGCCGCGCCTGCGCTCTCCCGCCCTCGCGTCCCCGGGCCAATGTAGCTGCCAACCCGACATCTGGAACAGACGCCCCGCCCAGGGGTGCAGAGGGCCCGCTTCCACCCCTCACTCGCCCTGCGACCTTGGGCAAGTCACCCATTCCTTCCTCCAGTTGGTCATCCAGCAGATATTTACCAAGCGACCCTGGTGCCAACGATTTCAGGTGGGAGCAGATCTGCTAGTAAACCAGGACGGATGACCAATGAACACAAAGGTAAAGAAGACAGGTGAGATAAAGAAGGAAAATGGTGCTGTGGGCAGGTGGTTGCCAAGTCATCCAGGCATGACCAGGGAGAGGAAATTCAGGCAGCAAATGTAAGTTTCTGCGCCAAAGCAGAAGGGAGCTGGCTTGGCATCAGGTAACAGCAGGGAAGCCAGTGTGGCTGGAGCCAAAAGAATTGGGGTGCAGGGTGGAGTGGGGGACAGAAGGAAGATAGGGAGGTGACTTTCCACAGGGTCTAACATGGGCTTAACTTCAAGATAATTGAAAGCCATGGAAAAGCTGTAAGCAGAAATGCGCACAACTATGATAATTTGGTTAAAAAAAAAAAGAGTGTCAAGCATAGTGGTCCACATCTGTAATCTCAGCATCTGGGAGATAGAGGCAGGTGGATTAGAAGTTCGACCCAGACTGGGCTATGTGAGACTGTATCTCACCACCAGCCCTCAAAACATAAAATGCATGGGGCTGCCATGGGAAAGGAAAGGTGACAGAGTGTGGTGACCACTCAGAAGGGTGATATCACCCAAATGTGTGCTAAGGAGGTTGGCCTAGGATGGAGAGAAGTGGATGGAGAGGAAATGCCAGACCCACAGCTGGCTACATCACCCAGTCTCCCTGGCATCTAGGCATCATCTGGTGTCCAAACTATAGCCAGTGGAGAATAGCAAAAGTGAGTGTGTTACTCCCGTGTCTGGCTTCCAAAGCCCTGGCCCATTCCCCTCCCTACCTTTCCCCACCTGTAGGCTGAATGCAGAGCCCTAGACAGGGACATAGCAAAGCTGCTTTCCACCAGGAAAACACCTGTTCTGAGATTTGGAGGACTGGAGAGATGGCTCAGTGGTGAAGAGAACTGGTTGCTCTTGCAGAGGACCGGGGTTTGGTTCTCAGCACCCACATGGCAGCTAGCAAACAAATCCCTAGTTCCAGAAGATTCGATGCCCTCTTATGGACTCCTTGGGCATTGCATGACATGGGTGCACTTACATCATACATGCATGTAAAACATTCATACACAGAAACTAGAAATAAATTAAACAACAAATTCTGTTATTTGGGGGTCAACCTGTCACTGAAGCTTGTGTCCCCCGATACATGGAAGTAGAGTTACTGGTAAATTCAGGTTCGAGGTAAAAGCAAGGCAACCTAGCTTCAGGCTCAGAATCTAGAAAAGGGAAGACAGGTTTCTGCTTAGCCTCTAGGAAGGAACATGGGCACACGAACACCTTGATTCTGGTCCAGGGAAGCCCATGTGACAGAACCAGAAGATTCTGTTTTTCAGGGGCGAGAGGGATGTGTATGTATGCAGTTGCATGTATGTGGGGGTGTGCATGTACATTTGTACATATATGTAGAGGTCAGTGGTCATTCCCAGATGCTATTTTGCAGAAGCCATCCACCTTATACCTGACTTCTTACATGGATGCTGGGGATCTAACTCAGGTCCTCCTGTGTGTGCAATAAGCAGTTTACTGACTGAGCTCTGACTCTCCTCGGCCCCAGAAGGTAATACTGGGGATGGGCCAGGGGGTAAGCCTCCATGTTTGTGATGATTGGTGACAGCTGCCACAGGGTAACAATAGGGTGGCCTTGAGGGTTCATGAAACCCCAAGAGCAGCACCCACCTGGTCTTAGGGCTGCAAGGAGCATTAGCCACTGTTACTAATATCACAGTGGATGGACCCTGGCCAGTGGGCCTTCAGTTCTGAGGTATCGTCGGGGCTCAGTGCCTGTAGAGAGGGACTTGCACCCCTTCATCTCCAGCTGAGTGGCCCAGAAACAGAGTGCTAACACAATTGTCCCAACTCTATTTTTATTGTTAAAATATATTTTATTATTTTTATTTTATGTGTGTGTGTATTGCCTGCATGTGCGTAAGTGCATCCATGTCATGCAATGCCCATGGAGGTCAGAAGAGGGCATTGGATCCCCTGGAACTGGAGTTATGGACAGTTATTAGCCACCCTGTGGGTGCTGGGAACCAAACCCAGGTCCTCTACAAGAGCAGTCAGTGCTCTTAACTGCGGAGCCATCTCTCCAGCCCCACAACTCTATTTTTAGTAAGGGCATCAGCAAGTTTGGTGTTCTGATTCTTCTCTGCCTCAAAGGGTCAGAAACTCGGGTGGAAGTCTCAAGGTAGGAACAGGACACCAGGATCTTCAGCTCAAGAAGAGCTTGAGAAGAGCTTACAGGGACAGCACGGTTCGGGGGACAGCTTGGTCTTAGGGGAACTAGAGGTCAGGAGGCTGGTCACGAATGCAGCTGGAGTCCATGAGATCTGAGTTTGAATTCCAGCTCCTCCACTTTCTATTGGGTGTCCATAGACAGAACACTTCTGCTGTTCTGTGCCTCAGTTTCCCCATGTGAAAACCAGGATTCTAATGCTCCTCACAGGAAACACAAAGACAATCATGTGTCACTTCCCAGGTGCCCCTGAGCTGGTAGCTGTGTCTCCTCCCCTTTTCCAACTGTCAGGAATTCTGTTTCCAGAAGCAGAGGCAAAGCTAAAGACTGTGGAGCCCTGTGTGTGCTGCACATTGTGCCAGATGTCACCATAGGGTCCTTCCTTTGGCCAGGAAGAAGAATACACTAACTTGCCCAGTCCTCATGCTTACGGCTGAGACAAGACTTGTACTTGGGGCTGCGTCCCAAGGCACTATTCTTGTCAGGCAAGATGCTGCTGGCCATATCGACCTCCCACTGGCCCTGGGGACCTCATTTTCCTTATCTCTAGATTGGGCCAGGGAGCCTTGTAGGGTGGCACTCTCCATTGTGAGGATCCTGTGACACTTAGCTGAGATGCTTTGTCAAATGTGCCCACTGAGGGTCTGTATAATTGGGGCCATGGGGGAGCTGTCTGGCCCTGCCAGGCAGGTGACTCTGCACTGTGCTTGGCGTCTTTGGTTCAGCAGCTCTATTTTAAGCCAGAGGAGGCTAGAGTTTGTATGTGTGTGTTTCTCAGCTAACAGAGTCGTCAGCTAAGCAGACACCAAAAACAGCACCTCCCCGAGCACCCCATTCAGCTCCCCTCCTTCTGTCTCCCCTCCTTGGAGGCCTGAGGGGACCCGGTGATTTTCCTCTGTCCCATCGTGCCAGGATTACACCCGTGACCTCCTCAACAAGGCCTTGAGGCTTCTCCAGAGCTCTGAAGTTGTCGGTTTTGAGGACAACAGAAAAAGGTAACGCCAGTCTCCAGCTGGGCTCTGGAAACCCTTCAAAGAGATTCACACATCTTCTGCATCTAGAGCCTTCTGAAAGCTGGCAGCCATCTCTGTTCCCATGTTAGGGGAGGAAACTGAGGCCCAGGATAAGAGGGAACCCATCTAAGACCACACATGAACAGATAGTGAATAAGGGACCAGGATGTGGGTTTCTGGGTGGGTCATGCCTAAGTTCCATCACCTCCCTAAGCCTCAGTTTCCTCATCTCCGACCCAGGGGGTGGAGAGGAATATCTGCCTGACAGGATTCCTGTGAGGATCAAATGGAAATACATTCAACAGAGGCTCAACACCCCTTCCACCCAACCAGCCTCTCCTTCCCCACTTTGCACACTGCCCATGCTGCAGGACTCTGGGGAATCCTTTGCAGCTCAGTGATTTTCCAGAAGGCCAGAGGGCCCAGCCATTTTCCTTGATCATCCTCCTCATTTCCCTCCTCACAGAACGGACTGTTTTCATCCCAGGAGACATTGAGTCAGAAGCTCCTTAGAGAGCAGCCGTGGCTTTTCTGCAGTCTGACTGTCACTCAAGGATCTGGGCTGCAAGGCATGAAAAACTGCCTCTCCCTAATCAGAGATGTAGATGGTACGATTGGGTGGAGGGTTCCCCAGAATTTTCTGGGCACTGGAAGGCAAATGGGTATTTGGGGAGACCCAGAGAGATAGAATCTGGAAAACACACCAGACTGGCTGGATTTGAATGCTGCTCTACCCTTCAGTTTTCCTGGACCTCAGTTTACTGGCCCGTGAAATGGGAATAAGGTAGAAACCCACATATCTGGCACAGTTGGGACCAGCGATTAGTCAGTTAATCAAAGCGAGGAATTCTTTTACTTTTTTTGTGACTGTGCTAGGGATTGAGCCCAGAGACTCAAACATGCGAGACAAGCATTCTACCAATTAGCCACATCCCCAGCCCTTTCTTTTATCTTGAGACGGGATCTCACTAAGTTGCTAGCCCTTGATTTCCCTGCATAGCACAGGCTGGGACTAGTAGCTGGGACTACAGGTGTGCACTACCACACCCAGCTGATGTATTTTTTTAAGTGCTAGGGATAAAACTCTGGATCCTGAGCACATTAAATAAGCAGTGCCATCCAACCCCCCAAGAACATTTTTTAATGGAATACTCTAAGAAGGTTTATTCAGTTAAAAAATGAACACTGTTTTCCAATCCATTGCTTGAGTTTAGTCCTGTCCAAGTGCTTCACATATTGTCCCATGAAGGGACTGGCAGGCACTTTCGGAGCACGAGTAGAGTCTCTCTATGCCTTCATGGTTATTTCTTTCCAGATCTTTTGTAGCTGTTTCTTCCACACATAATTTAACAGTATTTTGGGGTGGGGGGAGAAGAAAGGGTTTATTTCAGCTTACAACTCCCAGGTAATAATCCAATACTGAGGGAAGTCAGGGCAGAAATTCAAGACAGGAACCTGGAGGCAGGAACTGAAGCAGACCAAGGAAGAGTGTGGATTTCCGTTTTGTTCCTCTAGCTTGTGCTCAGTCT